TTGTCTTTGGAAATACCATACCAGTAAGTCCTATTGTAATGGAATTGTACATGTGAGGAACAAGAGCAGAGAAAGGTAATAATTATATCTTTTTGTTTCCTTTTAAAAAAGAGCTGGGGAAAGATTTCCCGTCTGATAAATCCCAGCCTCCGATTTCAGCTAGACAGAGGGTGTTGTGATTTTCTGCAGTGCAGAAATAGACACCTTCCTTATTTGCAAAAAAAATTCCATTTGTAATGCTTGGTAGCGTTTCAAAAGCAAGGTCATGGATCTCATTTTCCCAGCTCCACCTGCATTTTGCCTTAACCTGTCTTAACCCCTCAGCAGCTCCCGACTCTGCACACCTCCTGCTTAAGCATTCTTCTGAGCCATCAGTGGAAATTTCCTTTGTCGAGGCAAAGCCTGCACAAGGAAGAGTGACCTTGCTCTTGAAATTGGACAGGATGCTGAAAGTAACTATGTGCATACACCGGTTTGTGAGAGCCAGCGTGTGTTCACTTTATGAATGAAACTGGGGACTAGTCCCTGGATAAATGTATGGCTTCAGTCACACATTCAGCTATACACACCTGTTGATTGTAATATGAAAACTACTCAACACATGTACGAAGAAAAATCAGGTGTACACCAGTGTTCCCTCTAAGCTGAGTTAGCCTGAGCCAGCTCACAGTTTTTTAGCCTCTGGCTCACACATTTTTGTATTAGCTCAGGAAGGAGGGCTCCAGAGCAAACTAATTTACGCAGTAGCCAAATTGCTGGCTCACAACTTTAATGCCAGTGGCTCACAGAGTAGAATTTTTGCTCACAGGACTCCACAGCTTAGAGGGAACATTGGTGTACACACAGAAGCCCTGTTCACAAGTTACAGTGAATGCATACAATCCATGTACACTAGATTAAAAAAAACAAAACCTGAGTACGGCAATTCTCATGTTAGTCAATGCATGTACAGCTGAATATATGATATCAGCCCCACATTTATCCAGGTAAAGGTCCTCACTTTCATTTGCAAAGTGAACATGATTTGGCCCTTTCTTGTAAACAGATGTACCCTGTAACATGTAAACAGGACTGGATTGTACAGAGCTTCCTTGTAATTTGTGAAGTGGCCTAATGTGTAGTTTATATGTTAAAGGCATTCCTAGAGGGACCTGTTTAAAAGTTGGGAATCCTACCTGGGAAGTGGTAGAGTTAAACATAATTTTATATCCTCCCCCCCCCCCCCCAGGTTCCTGGCATAAACAGGCTAATGCCTCTCCCCCTTTTGCCTTTGACTGATTGGATGGACCTAACTACACGTTACACTGTGAGTCCACCAGAACTCCTATGAAACCAGACATATATTAGCAGTTATGTGTTTGGCACTCCCAACAATCTTTGAAACTTAGTTCCCAGCAGATGGGATTGGGACCAAGGTGTGGAGGGGAGAAGACATTGGATTTATACTCCATCCTTCACTACCGGAGGGAGTCTCAGAGCGATTTACAAACTTCTTTCCCTTCCCCACCCCACAACAGACACACTGTGAGGTAGGTGGGGCTCAGACAGCTCTCTTGAGAACTGCCCATGAGAGAACAGCTCTGAAAGAACTTGTGGCTGACCCAAGGTCACACCAGCAGCTGCAGGTGGAGGAGCGGGGAATCAAACCCAGCTCTCCCAGATTAGAGTCTGCACTCTTAACCACTACACCAAATTGGCTCTCAAAGGGGGCTCAAAGCTTTCCCCTCCCCCAGTGTCCTTTTCCCCAGCCTATGAACCCACCTGGTTATCTTTGGAGGCCTCGCTTTGGTTGCCCACACCATCTGAAGCTAGATGGGCGGCATCCCAAGAAAGGGCCTTCTTGGTCGCGGGATCAAAACTTTGGAATTGCCTCCCCAGGAAGATTGTCTGTCTCCCCTCATTTGTGTCTTCCACCAGCAGGTGAAGATGTTTTTTGTTTCATCCGGCATACCCCAAGTAATGGTTCCTGGCCCTCCTTCTAGTGTTGTCTTTGGGGCTTTGAATTGAATTACAACGTATCGCTGCTTTTTAATTGCTTGAATGTTTTTATATTTTTTGATGTTTGCCACCTTGTGGACCCTGGCAGGGTGGGAAGATGTCATAAAATGTTTTAAATAAATAATCCTTAAACAGCCCTGCCCAGCAGTTGTTTGACGCCTGTGGAAATTTTGACGCCCACCAGAACACCTCAGTTTACGCAAAAGGTGGTTTTAGGTTGGGAAAATGATGCAGGGGAGAAGACTTTAGCCTCCCCCTCTGCATGGTGCAGTTAGGGTTGCCAAAAGGCCTGGAGAAAAAATGTCCTCTCACTTAGAATCATAGAGTTAGAAGGGACTTCCAGGGTCATCTAGTCCAACCCCCTGCACAATGCAGGAAATTTACAAATACCTCCCCTCCCCCAACATCCCCAGTGACCCAGAAGATGACAAAAAACCCTCCCAAATTGCTTCCTGACCCCAAAGTGGCGCTCAGCATTTCCCTGGGCATGTGAGAAAGGCGTAATGTGGGCAGCTGAAACATTTTATAACAGGGAAGTAAATAACATCACCTGGAAAATAACCTCTTGCTTAAGCCTCTCTTAAAGGGAAAGAACACTTTTCTCCAGGTCTGTTGGCACCCCTATTACTGTCTCAACAAGGACTAGGACTGGAGCTGAAGGTATGCTGATGCAACCGAACACAGGGATCACATCACGAGTGCCGTTCCGGGAGTGACACTTGCATAAGGCCGGGACTTGCAATGGCTTGTTTCGCTGACACGCACAGACTCTTGATCTCCATTGGATTTCAGAGCTGTCTCTTCTCAGTTGTGATTTATTTGAAGGAAGGAGGGGTTGATGTGCACTTTTCATGATATGCTGTAGTGTGAGATGACCTGGGCTCCTTTCCAAGTCCCACCCCTCTACAAATCCTGGCACAGCCACAGCACCTGTGATGTGATTCCTTAGCTGGGTTGCATCATGTATCTGGTGTATACCAGTCGCCAACTTGCTTCTGCTGGCATGCGAGGTGTGGTGGCTGAGCCATGTAGCCACAGAGGGATGCAAATTGTGTTGGGCAGTTGCGTGACTTCTGCTTTGCATGAACCCTCCTAGCAAAACTAAACCAGTGTGTGTTCCATGGCGGTTTGGCTTGCTTGTTGGCAATGTGGTGACTTGGTGGTTTTTAAAGCAACTGTACTTCCTGGCAGGTTCCGAAGACCAGTGTCGTTCAGTCCAAGGTCAGAAGAGCAGAGAATAAGCAAGGCAAAGTCGTTCAGTCTGAGGATCAGAGTTCTAGGAGTCAGGCTAGGCAGTGGTAGCAGGCCAGCATCCAACATACACTTGTGTCCACACCCAACAGGTTTTTCTTGGTTGGTTTTTATAGCCCTGTGCCTAAGGGTCATGCTTGCAGCCAGCTGCTCAGAAGTAATCCTGTCACGACTTAGTTTCATCATCAGCAAGCATCGGGCCATAAGGTGTGCACTTTGCCTCCTTGCCTGTAGCTGTGTTCTCAGCTTCTGTCTGTGGTGCTCTAAGGGTGTAGGAGATACTGGTGGGCTGTGAATGGCTGAGGTTTGCCTGCTGCATCAGGGCTGGAGGGTGTAGGTGTTCTGCACCAGCTGTTGGTTGCGAATCCTCACAAGCCTGCATCTCATTCTCTTGCTGGTCAGCTTCTGTTGACTCAAGGCTGGCTACACGAGGCTACTCTTCCCCTGAGGAGTCCTCACTATCGCTGAGCCCTGGCTGACCCACAGCAGCAATTTGTTGAAACGGTAGCTTTTAAAGCAATCTCTTGTAGCAGTCCCTGGAGCCTTCTTAGGCTTCATGTTCAATGGCACAACAACCCTTCTGTTGCTGTCATTCCTGTTGCAGAAAGTAAATCGGTAGGATCCACCCTGGTTAGGGGTGCCAGCTGGGCAGCTTAGCACCAGAATGCCCTTCCTGGCTGGTTGCCAGATGTAGGGTTTTTCTTGTAATTGAGGTAATAGGGGCAAGTCCAGGATGTGATTGCGTGTCATTATTAAATTTAATTGGAATGACTCCAATGATTTTGGGTGAGAGAGTCCCCTCCTTGCTTGAGGTCTTTTGAGTCCTTCCGATCATGAGGGAAATGAGCATGGATTGTGGATGGGATTTATAAAGCATGTATCCCCTTTGGCTTCATGGCAAGTACATGATGCATAGGCTCTGTCCCTGGGTATACGGACCCTGGGCCAGGAAATCTCTTCCCCGAGTTAGCTTGCCCAGGATCTTGAAACTGTGAGCTGGGAAGTCCATAGCTGGAATTCACTCTGGTCTTGGTTAAGCAACCCACTGTCTTTCAGAAACATCACACCATTTCCCCCAGTTGCAGTATAAAGATAACCACAATGGCACTGATCTTACATGCAATAAAGAGAAACTTTATGTATATTGAAGTCATTATATAAATATTAGGAGACCCGTGTGGTGTAGTAGTTAGAGGAGTGGGGAGACCCAACTTCAGTTCCTCACTGATGCTTGAGACCATGTAAGAAGAGCTCATGCTGTAATGCCTCCTGCATAGACCTGAACACCTTGTGTTACTGTGGTGGCTTAGGGAAAAGTGATACAATAGTGCTTCCGGTATAGCCGAGATCCCAGGTTTTGTGCTCTTACTTGGTACTGAGGTACAGGGTTAACTGGGAGGTCCATGTAAGTATACCTTGGATCAGTCTACTATGAGGTTGTTGATATCTCCACAAAAGATTATGACAGAAGATAAAGGAATACTTGGGAGTTGGGCATCTTATAGAATTATAGAACTGTAGAACTGACTAAACAGCACCAGGGAAGGGGAACAGGGAGGGGTGTTCTTGACTGAATTGTAATTATGAAACTGGAGACATGTAGCTGAGTCATATGTTGGTGGGAGTTTTGGGGACAATGGTACGATGAATTGGAGGTTCCAGACTGAAGGCCTTTGAAAAGCCTTTTTATGCACTGTGGCAGTGAAAGCGGACAAGGTAACCCTCTTTCTCTTTTTCTTCTTCTTCGCCAGCTCTCAGTTGTTTTCGGGACATTCCAAGACCTGCTTCCCACCATCTGCTCTTCACCAAAGTGCTGTGGAACCAAGTTATGTCCACTGCTGCTCTAGCAAGTCTGGTCAGAAACGGAGGGCACCAAGCGAGGAGAGTGCTGCTGACGTCCCGCCTCTTGCAAGACGACAGCCGATGGATGGTTGTGTGCCAGAGTTCCACTACTGACCGCAGAGCGTCCCGCTTTGACCTGGATGGGAGTGGCCGACCTGCCACCTGGGACTCGTTCGGCATTTGGGATAACCGCATTGACGAGCCCATCCTCCTCCCGCCAAGCATCAAGTACGGGAAGCCGATCCCCAAGATCAGCTTATCGAAAGTGGGCTGTGCCAGCCACATTGGGAAGCGGAAAGAAAACGAAGACCGCTTTGATTATGCCCAGCTGACCGATGATGTCCTGTATTTTGCTGTTTATGACGGGCACGGAGGGGTGGCGGTAGCGGACTTCTGCAATAAGTATATGCAAAAGTATATCAAGTGAGTATCTGTTTTTGGGTCACTGTTACAGTAAAGGTTGGAGATAACGTTGAACGGTTTGCGGCAGGGCTGTCACGGTCCTCCCTGGCCTCTGGCAGGGTGTGTGTGTGGACGGGTTTGGTTGCCAGAGCCAGGCTGGGAAACTCCTGAAGATTTGGGGATGGAGCCAGGGGAGGACAGGGAACTCAACGGGGTACAGTGCCATAGAGTCCACCCTCCAGGCATCCATTTTCTCCAAGAAAACTGATCTCTGTAGTCTGGAAAGGACTTGTGATTCCAGGTGATCCCCAGGTCCCACCTGGAGGCTGGCACCCCTGCTCTGTGGCCATCATTTGACCTCATCCGTTCTAATTTTCCTATCCCCTTGTGTTGTGAATGAATCTGTAGTATGTAGCCAGCGACTTGCTTTAGGAGGCCTGGGGCGTGCTGCCTGCCTACAGTGTGACTTGAAACCGAGCCCCTAATGGTGTGATGTAGTGAGTGGGTGGAGTATGCAAACCAACATAAATGTTCTTTCTGAAAGATGTTATTACAATCTATCACAAAATAAAATGCTGTTTCTGTTCTATATTACATCCCCACCGCTCAGCCTTTCAAATCTCAAAAGTCCAGCTCATTCCCTTCTATATACATAAAAGAAAGTCCCCTCACCATAAAATCAACGGCCAGGCCAAACCGCTGGACTTAGAGACACAAATTTGGGGAGAGCGCTCCTACCGTGGCGTAGGTGCTCACTATGAAGGGATTTTTAGAAATTCAACCCCTAAGTGGGTCAAAGGGGGTAAAATGTGCTCCCCCCATTGATTCCTATGCGGCTCCCAGGCCTGCACCCCCACTCTGTGATTGGTCAGCTGCAGAGCTCAGTGTTCTGAGGTAAAAAAGACCCAACAGTTACAGTGGACTGCAGACAGCTAATGACAGTTGAGAAAATCAGAAGTGGCCAACAACCACCTGTGAGGTGAAGCAAAACTGCTGGCGAAGCCTCTCTAATAGCTACCAACACACTCCCCCCACCTCCTACACCTAACAGGCGGTTGTCTGTCAGGTACAGTCCCACCTCCACAGTGGCTTCTAATACTCCTCCCATTTCCCCCTCCTACAGTGGACAGGCGGCTGCCTGTCAGGTGTAGGAGAGGAGGTGGGATGCTTACAGCTGCCGGGGGGGGTTTGCTCAACAGGATTGCCTTAGCACTGCTGCTGGCCCAGCCTCCCCGATACCTTTAAATACAATCCCCCCAACACCAGACAGGCCGGTGTCTGTAAGGTGTAGGAGCAGGGCCAGGGTATGATAGTTTATGGGGAGATAGTAAAGGACATTTCTAGGAGCCATTTCTATCTGTGCCTCCCTCATGAACCTGAAGAAATGTCCACCACCACTCTCTCACACCAACTCCCCCTCACACCTCTCACTGCCTCCAAGAAAGCTCCTGGCAAACGTCGAGCCAGATACACCAACGCTACAAGGAGGAGGCAACTTAGGAATGCGGCAAAGGCATTTGCACATAGTACTCCTGCAAGTGCACTGAGCTGCACAGGCCAAGTACCAGCAAGATCACCCTGAGTTGCTCAGAACAACACAGTCTCCATATGAGCAAAACAATCCAGGAGCACAAGTAGAGAGGCCATCACTTTCGTGGAAGGTAGCAGGGGGGGACTTAACAGACAACTGCTTCTTAAATGGACAATTCTATGTGGCCTGCTCCAGAGTGAGCTCATCAAGCAGCCTGGTGATCCTAGCACCTGAGGGCAGAACCACCAATGTGGTCTAGAGAGAGGTCCTTCAGTAGAGAGAGAAAAAAGTACGTATGTCTCACTTCATTTCTTACACTACAATCTTCTCCATTAGAATTGCTACAACAAATGTCACATTTCAGACTTCACATCATCAGTATTATAACTGGATTTATGGAACTTAAATACTGTAGCAAAGCATGGGTATCAGGCTAGTAATTAATAAAGGGAATCCATTTTAATGGGAAAATGCCCTCCTGAAAAATTCAGTTTTGCACGTTCTGCTCAACAGTGCTAGCGTGAGAGTCTCCCTATTCTCACTGGGTCAGTTGTTCTGCCAGGTGGAGGCCAAAACAGAGAATTCTCAGGTATGGGCAGTTGCTGATCTTAACCAGAGCTTTTTTTTTTTTGTAGAAAAAGCCCAGCAGGAACGTATTAGCATATAAGGCCACATCCCTGACAGTGCAGCTCATTAGCATATTAGGCCACACCCCATTCCTTTCCTTGGCTTGCCCAGGTGCCCTGCGGCTGTGGGGAGCCCGGGCAAGCCGGCCCTTGGAAAGGCTGGCTGGCCCGCCCGCCTTAGAGTCATCAGGGGGTGGTTGCTCTCCAGGCCTTCCCTCTGTAGCCACACATGCAGAGGTTTTGGCTGTAGTGCATGTGGCCAACTCTGAAGCCAGCCGGAACTCCGTTCCTGTACGTTCCTGCCCCAAAATAGCCCTGATCTTAACAATTTGGAGGGTGGCACCTACGGAAAGTCTCCACAGCTTGTACAGGGACTCCATACGGGACAATTGGTGATTCGTGAATGGTTGCCACGGAGAAGGTTGCCAGCTTCAGACTGGGAAATATGTGGAAATTCTGGGGGCGGAGCCCAAAGAGGGCAGGGTTTGGGGAGGGGAGGGACTTCTGTGGGGTCTAATGCCAATAGAGTCCACCTCCCAAAGCAGCCATTATCTCCAGATGAACCGATCTCTGTCACCTGGAGATAAATTGTAATCCCAGGAGATCTCCAGCCGCTACCTGGAGGCTGGCAACCCTAGGCACGGACCATTTAACTGCACCAGTCATCTGTTTATGCGATGGGCAGAAAGGTGACTTCTTGGTTTAATATGATCGTTTATTTTTTCAGAGAATTCCTTGCTGAGGAGCGGAACATGGAAATAGCATTGTTCAGAGCCTTTGTAGAAATAGAGAAAGCGTATGAACGGCATGCTCACTTATCTGCTGATGGTAGGTATGAATGTCTTTGTGTTCGGAGGTGGGCAGAAAAGGGACTTCTCCCTTCATAAGGGGGGCTAGTGGTTTTTAAATGTTTGATATTATGTCCCCCCCCCAGCATTTTTAATGCACAAGGGTTTGCTAAACATGTCTCATAAAGTCTGTGTTCCTCTAGGCCTTTACTGCTGAAAGGATTAAAAGAAGTAATTGCTTGAAAGGTCAAAATTAAGTGATGTGCTGGTTTTAGACAGGAAACGTCCTTGTGGTTTTCTGATGGAAGACTCTATTAGGCTTTGGACCAGTTTGTTTCATGAAGACCTAATTGCAGCCATTATGGATGGTGTTCAGCAACACAAGAACAGCCATAACCAAGAGTAAATCAAGCCCCATAGCCATGCCCTGACATTCGTACCCAAGGCTGATTCCAGGTTTGTGCTCTCCTTCCTTCCCATCTGCCTGTGTGACCTTCCCCGCCTACTCCTGAGCGCTCCCATTTCCCGTGCTCACAATCCACTTGCACTGCCTGCAGGGCAGGCCTTTCCCCAGCAGCAGTGCATGCAGCTGGGAGCATAGGTGGTGGAGCACTAGCAAGCAAGCATGTATGTGTGTGGGGGTCATACCTGCCTCAGGGCATGCTGATACCAGTCCTGTTCGTACCAAAACCTTTGTTAAACGCGCATGTCACAGACGGGAGATGTGGTCTGAGTCACCACCTGCCTCTGGACTTAGCCTGCGATACTATCCATGCATAGTTTCAAGAATGAATCCCACTGTGCAACATGGTATTTACTACTGAATGCATAGGCTTGGGCTGCATTTCTAGAATATTATGCATAAGTATGTGGGAGTAAGCCTCAGTGAAACAGTAGAATTCACCCCCTGGTAAGTGTGTGCGTGTTTAATGTTTTATAAGCTGTTGGAACTGAGCTGCTTTGCAGGCATTCATCTCATGAATGAACCAGTTCCTAAACAAATGCCCGTTGATCCATCTGATTCCATGCGCTCTCCTAACTGAGCCTTGGGTTCTTATTTTGGCCTGGGTTGTGATCAGCGCTGTTCCAAGCCCGTGAATCAGATGACCGAGAGAGATGGCACAGGCCTGAGTGTTTATTAATTTTCTTTAAGGACACTAGAGAGCTAAGTGTTTTTATTAATAAGTACTTTATTAATAGGATAAGGCGAGGACACTCTATCTCCGGTCCTAGTACGTGCATGCAGTGAATAGGAGAAATCAAAGCACAAATGTCATTTTATAGCCTATCGTAAGCAAAAGGCATGCCCCTGCCTAAGAAACTATCTGCGATAGTTGTGTATTCTAAGAGTAGCTATTTTATTATCATCAGGCTGATGGAGAGAAGTGTCCTCTGGAGGGTCTTAGAATCTTGTATATTTGTCTTCCGTGATGAAAGTAGTGTTCATAATGCAATTAAGATGCAGATTTAACTCTTTTCCTAATATAAAAAAGATAGTCAAATCATGCTAACCTGCAACACTGCAGAAGTGAAAGAGCTGCAGAATTTAAATTGTCCTTGTAGAGTACTGGAAGTTGTTGTCTCTCAGCATTAATTCAGCTGGAGAGCTGCAGCTGCAGTGATCCTTCTCCGTAGCCATTGGAACTGCCAGGGCCTTCTTGATAAATGCCGCTACGCCTGTAGATCAATGTCTTTTGCTGAACAAAAAGCAAGAAGAGAAGCAAAAACCAGGCATTTTTGTGGACGAAAGTAACTTCAGTGTGCAAAGAATTACCATAAAGCTTACAAAAAGCTTAGCTGTTTCCATTTCATGATTTGGGGCATATCTTTACAAATGCCTTTAAGTTCCCTTTAGTTCCAAACTAATGTCATGCCTTCTCATTATTGCTGCCTTTTGGAGTGCTGACTATGCAGATAGATTGAAGGGGTTGCGAAGGAAGAACAATGTGTAGTAAATTGGATATGATAATATAGGAACGGGGTGGGGTGGGGCCATCTCTAAGCAGAGTCCTCTAAATCAGGATGGACAGCCTGCTTTCTTTTGTAGCTCTGATCCTCCCACGTGTTGCAGGTTCAATTTTAACTTTTAAGCAAAAAACTCCTGGGTGAATTTCCTATTTGCCTCTGTGTACCATGTTATTTGTGGCAGACACTGTACCCGACCAGCAGCTCTAGAACTGGAGGCCCGGGGACTCTATATGCTGGGCTTCAGTGGAAAGAGAGATCAGCTTAATTTGGTCCCAGGTGAAGGAGTCCGGCGGGTTCCTAGCCTGGACTACTGCAAGGTTCCCACATCCACTTTGTCATAGTAGTTGAGATGACATGCTCTAAAAATGTCCAGTGAGTGTTAAGATACCTATTGAAAGATTTTGTATTTCTGTAGTTTTATGCTGTTTAGGAAGCAAGCAAGCTGTTGTTGTTTTCTTTAAAAAATGTTAATGTGTGCCAAAGCAACATTTTTCTTCTTCCTGACTGAATTCGATTTGATAGTAATAGACTATTGCCACCTTAATGAAGAACACGATTCCTTGGTTTTGGAACTGCACTATTAGTTGGGGGGGGGGCCTAAGCTACCAACCTCCATTCTAGTGGTTTGCAAAGGGCTCCTAAACAAAAATCCCTTTCCTTGTAGATCCTCTTTAAATCTGACTGTAAAATGCTTGTTAAGTAGATTCCATTGACTTTAATTACAGTGTGTTTAAGACAGGGGTTATGGGAGTTCCTCTCCTTGCCTTGTAGCTGGTATACTGAACCTGCCTCACACAAAATCAGATAGTTGGGCCAGTCTAGCTCAATACTGTTTGCTCTGATGGGCAACAGCTGTCCAGAATCTCTGGCAGATGCCTTTCCCAATTACATCTCTCAAAGATACTAGCAGGGGTCATTTCCTGCAGGAGCGCACAGGAGCGGAGCTCCGGCAGTAAAGAGCCCAGGGGGCGGGCACATGCAACAAGCCCCACCCTATGCTCCCAGCAGCCCTCAGTCAGAGCAAGAAGCTCTGGCACCTTTAAGACCAAGTTTTATTCAGGTACAAGCTCTCCCTTCTCTGTGAGGACAGAGCTGCATGTCCCCCCCCCCCAATAGCTAGCAATCCAAAACAGTCCAGTGGAGCATGAGCGGTGGGTGTTGCCTTCTGACACACTTCCGGTGATGTCAGGGGTGTGGCATATGCAAATAAGTTATGCTAATGAGTTATGCTAATGAGCTCCTGCACCTCTTTTTCTACGAAATGACCCCTAGATACTAGAGATGCCTGGGGTTGAGCCCAAGGCCTGCATGTGGTCTACCAGTGAGCTATGGGCTCTCCCCAGGGGTGTGGTGTTACGTGTTTTGTGTAATGCCACATACCTATGCAGATGTTTTGGGACCTGGCATAAGGAATATCGGTGTGGCATTTATATTGTTTCCTTAGCCTTGTCATATACTGATACAAACTTCTTACAAAAGAAAAGCAGCATTTGAGAACATGCTAAAACTTTCCCCCCATCGCTACTAAAGGCTTTAATTTCACCAGAGCATTGTTAAACCACCCCAATCTTAGTACCTGTAATCTTTTTTAAAAAAATAGTTTTGTGTGCACGTGTGTTTTTTGTGCTTGCCTGGAAGTCATAGCGACTTCAGGCAACGCTTACTGGGGGCTTAGACGTTTTTCAGAGAGGTGGATTGAGTGGCCTGCCTCTGCATCCCACCTCTGGTATTCCTTGGAGGTCGCCTTTGCAAGTACTTGCCAGAGTCGGCCCTGCTTAGCTTCCCAGATCTGAAGAGACTGGGCTTGCCTGGGCTATCCAGGTCAGTGTCTGTAATCTTGACAGATGCTAGTACTCTTTCCTGGTAGTGCTACAAGCTGCAACTGTAAACTTTCTGTAGATGCTGCAGGCTGAAATGGAGGATTATAGATCTAGTGGAGAAAAAACGTCCCTCAAATTTGCCCTAAGTTGGGGAAGAAAATGAATTTGCCTGAGAAAGAAGCTGTGACTGTTGTTCAGCTATGTATAATCTAGATTCTGGGACTATCTCTTCCATTGCGTTCATCTGATGAGGCTGCTGTCAGCTCAGCACACCTTGGGTAAGCCATAAGGTTGCCAGTTCAGGAATTCCCTGCCCCCAGAAAATGGCATGACATCACTTCCTGGTAAACCCGGAAGTGATGTCACACCTCTCTTGGAATCGCCAAAAACTCTGTAGTAAAACCCTGTGTTTTCTAGAGAAGACTGACACCACTGCCGGGGTTTACCCAGAAGGGATGTCATGCGGTCACTGATTGCCACCTCCTTCCCCCATCCTCCTGCTGCTTGCTGGGCCTGGTGGTCTTATGATCTTAAGACGTGCTAGAGCACTCAAAGAACAAGTCACTACACCAAAAGAAGCCCCTATCAGCTTGCAGTAGCTTTCCCACATTTCAGAAGGAAACCTGGCACGGCATGGGAGAAGCATCGCTGGGCCTCATCTGTCCGAGAGGCAAGGTCTTTGCTACCACTGGCTGCTGGGTGAAGGATGCTTGTGCATTCAGAAGCAATCCCGGTGCTTCTGCAGTAGGTCTCATGCGGTAGGCCTTCATGCCTGCATATCCACTGATCTTTATTATTTATGCCATAACAAACTCTTCATGTTTAAGGAATATTTGATCTGTCTGTTCCAAATGGACTGCCTACATAGGCAAGCAAACATATACGTAGATCCAGGCCACCATCTTCCTGCTTTGCATACGGGAATCCCCGTGATTCCTAGCTTTGTGATTTCCTAGCTTTGTGAGAGATTGTGTTATAGCGCTGCTGTTCCAAAAGCAAGGAATACAACAGTGGGACGGGGGGGCTAGTAGCAACCTCAAGGTTCAGCCTTTAATTGTTTTAGAGGGGTTGGAAGAGGCAAAAGCACGAAGTATCTCAACATTTGACATTTTGCTCTGTCCTATTTAACTTGTTGGTTTAAAACAGGTATTTTACTGGTGGTACGGACACTTTAAATTGCCTATCCGAAATTATTACGCAATCCTCCCGCCTTTCCCCCTGCCCTTGTTCGTGTTCGGAAATGCTGTAAGGCACACTGATTCTTTCGAAATGCAAAAGGTGAAAATAAACCAGTCATCCTCTGCCCACTTTGGAGTAAGACTCTTTGAACTTGGTGGGAGTTGTTTGGCTAGCTCAGACTGGACGTACTGTACAGTTGAAGGGCAAACTTACGTTGGAGGGAAAGGGAAATTTCTACCGTGAAATTTAATAAAGGCAGTATTCGAGAGCCTTTTAGACCCTCCTTGCAGTAACTATGCCTGTTTTAAATAATTACAATCCTAAAACTGCCTAGTTTTAGATTACCTTTTTGGTAGCTTTCTTTTCTATCTGATTCCTTCGTGGGTTCACTCCGCAACAAGTTTTGATGCATTTTTTGTCATCGTCTTCTTGTTTTTGTGTTTGTGGGTTTTTTTGGGTATTTTTGTATTGTGTGTGTATATGTGCGTGCGTGTGTGTGTGTTTCTGCACCTGAAAGTCATGTCAACCTCTGGTGACTGACTCCTACTGGGGCCCTGAAGGGTATTCAGAGAAGTGGCTGAATAAAGCCTGCCCCTGTCCTCCTGACGTGGTATTCCAAGGAGGTCCCCCATCCAAGTACTAACCACAGTCGACCCTGCTTAGCTTTCGAGATCTGATGAGATTGGGCTTGCCTGGGCTATCCAGGTCAGGATGTCATCCTCTCCTTGTTGATAAGGAAAGGAGAATTCTGCACTCTCTGAGCGTTGTAGTTCTGGGTAGGAGGGGGGAAAAACCACCATCTGTATGGTGTGCGGTTCATTGGTTCAGCACTTCTCAAATCCTCTCCTCCTTTAGATCCTCCAACTCATGAACCTAGTGGTGACTCAAAAAGCATGGACTGGACTATACCCTTTTGTTGACTAGAAGCCTCACAAAGCTACAGTTCCTAGTAGTCTTTTTGGGGGCAGCTTTTGTGAACTAGACTGATTTCAAACCAGCATCCTGCTGGTTTGCTTTGCCGTGCAGATGTGCCTCATCTGTCGCTGAATAAGGGGAGCTAGCTCCCCTCATGTCATAAGAACATAAGAGATGCCAATGTTGGATCAGGCCAAAGGCCCATCCAGTCCAACACTCTGTATCACACAGTGGCCAGAAATACCAGTGCCATCAGGAAGTCCACCAGTGGGGCCAGGACATTAGAAGCCCTCCCACTGTTGACCCCCCCCCAAGCACCAAGAAGACAGAGCATCACTTGCCCCAGAGTCCTTCACACACCTGCAGATTAAGAAGCACCCATCCCATTAAAATATATATTTTGTAGCATCAAAGAAAAATGCTTTCAGTTTTTCTTCAGCTGCCATCCACTAGAATATTCTCGGTCATTAGACCTCCGTAGTCAGTGGAGCTGCGGGCCCAAGCTTGCAGTGCTTTACATTTATATCTTGCTTTTCTCCACAAAGCAGCTTACAACTCTGGCCTCCCTACCTCTGTTTTGTCCTCACAAAAAGAACCCTGTGAGGTGCATTAGCCTGAGAGAAACTGACCGGCCCAAGGTCACCCTGTGAGCTTCCATGGCACAGTAGGAGCCTGAACTTGGCTCCCGATCCTTGTCTAACCCCACTTGTAACTACATGGGGGAAGAAGAAGAAGAATAGTTGGATTTATACCCTGCCATTCACTGGGAGGATCAGAGCGGCTTACAAACTCCTTTCCCTTCCCCTCCCCCACAACAGACACCCTGTGAGGTAGGTGGGCCTGCGAGAGCTCTTTCGAGAACTGCTCTTGAGGGAACAGCTCTGAGAGAACTTGTGACTGACCCAAGGTCACTCGGCAGCTGCGTGTGGAGGAGTGGGGAATCAAACCCGGTTCTCCCAGATTAGAGTCTGGCGCTCTTAACCACTACACCAAACAGCATAGTGAATTGAAGTGCTGGAAGCGGGAGCCTGTAAAATGTCTCTTGTTGAAAACCTGTACAGCAGAGGAAAATAAAACTGTCACTGACTTCTCCCGTTAGTATGATGCTTTCCCCCTTGCATGTGGCCATGTCGTGAAAGTCTTCCTCCGTCTTTCTGTGCATGTGACCTCTCTTCTCCCTGCTTTTGTAGCTTTAAGCTGTACAGCAGTGAATCTCCGTGTAAAAGAATAGTTGATAACACTTTAGAATGCGGAAATCACAGGAGGGTTCCACGCTCAGCTGCTGACAGTCTTTTCTTGTGTGGCGTTTATAGCGACCTTGCTGACCGCTGGGAGCACAGCAACCGTGGCCCTGCTGAGGGATGGGATAGAGCTGGTCGTGGCCAGTGTCGGCGACAGCCGTGCCCTTCTGTGTCGCAAGGGGAAAGCCCTGAAGCTGACCATCGATCACACTCCTGAGAGGAAGGATGAGAAACAAAGGTACGCAGCCTCACCCAGATCATCTTTGATTCACCAACATACAAGCACAGAGATGTCACTTGTCCCCGGCATCTTGCGAGCATTCAGGAATCCCTGTTGGGTAGGCAGAGATTGCCGGGTTGTACTAAAGGACACCTCAGGACCAAAGAGGGGAAGGAGCATTATTCCCTCTTCCTCCCGAGAGGGGTGAAGGTTGCATCCACCCACCCACACATCCCCATTCAAGGCTACCACCTTACCCTTGTTCTTTGTAGAGCTGGCCATGCATCTCTAGAGCAGCTAATTTAACATTTCTCCTCTAAGGAAACTACATGGCGGGGGGGGGATTGCCATTGATCTTTCGGAGGAGCTCTTCTGCATAAACAGGTTTAGGATCCTTAGTATTGTTTTGTATTTCTTCCTGGATCTTTGTATAGTTTCCTGGATCTTTGTGCAAAACAAAATTGAATCTGAATCACTGAGTTTTTAAATTTAATTATTCCCACCCAATGGGGACCCAAAGTAGCTTCCAGCATGCTCCCCTCCTTCATTTTATCCTTACAACAACCCTGTGAGGTAGGTTAAGCCAAGAATGTGTGACTGGCCCAAGGTCCCCCATCGAGCTTCTGTGGCAGAGTGGGGATTTGCACCTGGGTCTCTCAGGTCTTAGTCTGATATTCTAGCCACTACACCATACAGAATCTGAAATTTACTTTTCCCGCACGGCTGGTGGTGGCCCCACACTATTTCATGCTCCACCTCCTTGGCATTCATCACAGGCACTTAGGGATTCCCGAGCTTGTGCCAGCAAACTCCACCTTCTCCTACCAGAGAGGGTGAGATCTCTGAAGAGCAACATGTAACCAAACCTCACTGCAGCTGTACTGCCCCCAGCAGAATATGTAGCTAGCAGAGTACGAAAATGAGTCCTTTGCCTTTACGACACAGCACCATGGGAAATGGAGTTTAAGGACTCTTTAGGTCACATGATCTAAAATAGCTCACTCCATTGGTGTAGATAAGCCCTTTCCCTGCAGCCTTTGCAACCCCAGGGAAAAGTCTCTTTCTGTTTCTTGAATCTTGCGCCTAGTGGAACTACCTGCCTTGAAAGGGATTGAAAAATGGAGTGAGAGTCTGCCAAAGCCAATTAACACATGCAAGCTGTGGCAGTTCCCTGTGTATGGGTAAGCAGTCACATAACCTGGTTGTTTGTTTGGATTCAGAAAGGGTAACCTGTATAAACTGGCCATTTATAACTGCCTTGGGCCTATTTTGTGGAGAAGGGACAGAGAGAGAATCTAAATACTGTGCTGTCTTCCTCTCTCTCTCTTTCGCATCAAGAATCAAGAAAGCCGGCGGCTTTGTCGCCTGGAACAGCTTAGGACAGCCTCATGTGAATGGCAGACTGGCAATGACCCGAAGCATTGGTGACTTGGATCTTAAGAAACATGGTGTGATAGCAGAACCAGAAACTAAAAGGATTCAGGTAAGAGCTTTCTCCTTCAGCTGAAAGAGGGTGGGTGGTACGGCTCCCTGCTTTGTGCTAAGAATTCTCAGTGCCCGTTTTCACTGATTTGGGCTGCTGATGTCCGTGCTGTTAGATGAGCAGCGGGTGGCAGAAGTGGACCCAGTCTGGTTTGTAGCTGTTGGGCATGTTGAGTTGACAGGCCTTACATTTTAAAATGTAAGGAAATGCTCCAAATGGGTGCTTGGTCACATGCAAACTGCCTGTAGCACTAAAGCTGACTTGAGTGATGCAAACAGGCAGACATCAACTCAGAAGCCCGCTCTCTTTTAAACCGATGTGGGGCCAGAACAGGTCCTGACACTGAAGCAGCAGCTCCCCCTGTCTGTAAAATCAAGCTTTTAATAACCTGCATCAGTATATCGGGAAGGCGATATTTAAAACACCCAGGACATTGACAGTTCAGTCCTAAGCAAAGTTACACCCTTCTGAGTCCATTGCAGTCAACTGCTTAGAAGGCTGTGACTCTGTTTAGGATTGCAGTGTAAAAAAGCACTAAAACTTCTGGGCTTGCCAGTTTGGTGTAGTGGTTAAGTGCACGGACTCTAATCTGGGAGAACCGGGTTCAATTCCCCACTCCTCCACTTGCACCTGTCTGGATGACCTTGGGCAGGCCATAACTCTGGCACAGCTGTCCTTGAAAAAGAGCAGTTTCTGTCAGAGCTCTCTCAGCCCCACCGACTTCACGGGGTGTCTGTTGTGGGGAGGGGAAGGGAAAGGAGTTTGTAAGCCGCTCTGAGACTCCCTTGGGTAGTGAAGGGCAGGGTATAAATCCAATCTCTTCTTCTTCTTCTTCTACTCCCCACAATGAAATCTTGAGGCGGGGGCTGTCTTTGCAGACTGAAATGGGAAAGAATCTAAGGGTGGAGCCATAGTTCAGAGGCGGAGCTTCTGCTTTGCATGCAGAAAGCTCAGTTCTTGGCTCTGGATTTAGCATTTTGAGTAGCAAGTGAAGATATAGAGCTGCTTTTTGATTAACAGTGCTGAGCTGGATGGACCAATACTCTGGCCAGTAGTACAAGACAACGTCATGTATTCATGGAGCAGCAGGTTCTGTTCTCAGTGGCTCCCATTAGGGGTTGTTACTGGCGATCAGAGATGCATTTAAGAGGAAGGGGCATTGTCTGTCCCTGTCATGTTTCATTCCACTAGAGAGCGCTTACAATATATTCACAACGTTAGGTAATAAAAACGTGTCATCAATCTAACCATTTCTAGTCAATGGCTATCAGTCTGGGCAACATCTGGTGTGCTTGTCTCGTTACAGCTCCAACATGCGAAGGACAGCTTCTTGGTCCTCACCACCGATGGCATCAACTTCATGGTGAACAGCCAAGAGATCTGCGACTTTGTCAACCAGTGTCATGACCCCGCTGAAGCAGCTCATGTTGTTACTGATCAGGTAGGCATCCTCTGCTAGACAAGACTGGGAACAGTGTGGGTAGTTTTCTGAAGCCCTTGGTGGATCTTGTCAGACCTTGGAATCTAAGCAGGGTCAGTCCTAGCTAGTACTTGGATGGTACACCCAAGAAGTCCAGAGTGGCTTCATAGAGGCGGGCAATGGCAAATCTCTTTGCCACTTGCCTTGAAAACCCTACGTGGTCGCCATAAGTTGGTTGTGACTTGACAGCACTTTCCACTACAGTGTTCTGAAACAAACAAGTTAGGCGTGCTCAGGTCCTTTTTGTGGTGCAGTCACACATTCTTGTACAGACAGACACAGTTCGATGGTGCCGAGACAGCTAGACTTCTAAACTTCTACTTTGTCATCTCTCTATCAGGCCGTGCAATATGGGACGGAGGATAACAGCACTGCCATTGTCGTGCCCTTTGGAGCCTGGGGCAAGTACAAAAACTCGGAGATCAGTTTCTCATTCAGCCGGAGCTTCGCCTCGAGTGGGAGATGGGCGTGAGGGTCTCCTGCAGCCATGTGTTGAACGAGCTGTGATGTGGGAGGCATGCAAGAAGAGAGCTGACCTGTAGATAGGTCAACACAACTGTCTCGTCCATCTTTCTTCCCAGCCTAGCGCTTTCTGTAGCAGATCGTTGTCATGGGTGTTGCCTTTTTAATCCACAGGCCGTTAACTGCTTATTTTAGTCCAACGACTTTCCTTTCCTCTGTCATCAAGGGGTAGAGAAAGATCCTGGTTCTGTGCTTGGCATCTTGTCTATGGATTTTGTACCAGGTGCTGTATTTAATATGCCCAGTACATTTAGAGGCTGAGAGGCTATCGTGACCAAGCTCTGTTGATTTGCACCATGTGTCAAGAAGCTGTGTAAAGATGGCACTTGTCTTCCTCCGCTATCACAGGATCGGGCTGCTTAAAGAGATCTTGCAAAGCCAGCCGGGGGGAGACCCAAGACGTTGCACTAGGTGGCTTCCTGTTGGTTTGTGTGGCCAAAACCAGTTTTAATTTCAGATCTGAAGCTAGTCTGACTGTCCAGAAGTTCCCCCATGACTCTGGGCCCGACCGGTGCCATGCTGTGCGAATCGAGTGGCAGTAATTCAGCAGTGTGGCTGCTATTCTTGGGTCCCTTTCTTCCAAAATGGGGAAAGAAGTCCCCAAACAACTCCATCCCAAATGCGCAGCGTTAACAGGTATGGGGATCTTGTAAGGGGTACTTGGGCATTTAAGCTTCAGGGTTTTGCCACTTGGCAAGGAACTGAGACGATCCTTTTGAGTGCCCTCGACCAACTACTGCTGGAAGAGAAGAAGAAACGTATACTTAAGTTTGCTGTCAGCTTTTCACTTGGAAGCAAATTAGGAGGTGGCTGCTGAGGGAAGCAGGGAGTCTGAAGGAAGCCAAATTTCAGTGCAGCTAGTGAAATTCCTTGAGAGTGAGTGACAGGTGTGTGTATATCTAAGTAAAAGATAAGCTAATGGGAGGAGGACAGTTGCTAAGGGGGGTGCCTTGGCAGGGTCTCAGTAAGCTTAGTGTTATCAGAATGTCCACTATCTGAGGATACACGTTAGAGTGCCCAGTTCAAGTTCTGGGTAGGATAGGGATAGTCACTTTCCTCTACATCAGTGTCCCCAACTTTGTTGGGTTTCTAGGCACTTTTGGAATCCTGGCAAAGGGCCAGGGGTGCCAGGGGTAGTGGTGGGAGAATCACAAAACGTCGGGGAGGTTCCAGGTCAAGTGTCGTCATCTTATGATGGAAGCAGCCACGGGTGCTTCCTAAAGGTGATGCTTCTTGGGCTCTTCCAAAGTACCACCTGCTTTGATGAGGTGGAGGAAAGCCAGGACTGGTTCTCTGTGAGCACCGGGAAACATCAGCAGGCCCCACAGCATCCACAACTGCCACACTGGGGATCACTGATCTAGACTGCAGAAGTAATGGTTTCCGCATCAGTGTGTGAGAAACTCCTCCTCGTCAGTTTTGACAGAAGTACCTTGGGAACTCCGCTAGTTTCAAAAATAAAAATCACACATAAAACAGAGTAACTCAGATAAAGTTGTTTTTTCCCCCACTAGGAGCTACAATTAGCCTGTTAGCTAATCCCCGAGCACAACGTGGACTGCTTCTGTTGAACATCTGTACCGCTTTAGGGCCATGAGCTTTGTGTCAGTCATTCCAGAGTGAGAAACAGCAAGTGCTTTGCAAACACGGTGCCCTTGCATTGTCCTGTGACCTAATGTATATTTTATGTTTGTATAATATTTGTAAATATCTAGTACTGTCATGACAGCTCATTAGAGCGGTGCATGCCGATTCTTCGGATGACCATCGTTACCATCGTCTTTTCTTCCTTAACTCTTGTTTTTTTTCAAGGGTTTGAAGTGTCTGCTTTGCATTTTTTTTAAAAAAAATTATCTTTGGAGTAAACGGAAGCTGGAGCAATGCATCACTATTGCTGACAGTCCCAGGGATGTGGATCTAGCCAGATTGCCTGCTGGTGAAAAGAGGAAGAAAGGGGTCCCCTTTGACTGCCAAAGCCTGTGGATCATGGGATCTGTATGGACAAAAGCCACGTGGGGGGGGGGAGGGATTTGTAATAAGGAGCAGAGCTGGCCAAGATGGAGTGAAAAAGATGGCTGGATCCAATCCCAGGCCTCCTCCTTCCTTGTAATGCGCAGTGCTGTGAAGTTAGTTGTGTGATACTTTCTTGCTTTGAATCCGTCCAATACAACAGTTTTTTTGTTTATCTGGGGCCATCCTGATCTTAGTGGCACTTCACCCTTGCAAACGTCATCCCCCCCTTTGCCCGATATAGATGCCGCCTTAACGTTTTGCAGTTGTGAGTTTCTAGTGTTGTAGACTTTCAGGTTTCTGCTCACTTTTGTAAGGAAACTGGTATGCTGCCAGTTTGTGCAAGTTTGCACTATAAACTTCTCTAGAAGTTGAATTTTTGGTGGTGAATGTCTGGTGCATCTGAGCACTAAAGCATAATTCTGCACAATCTGTCATTGCGCACATGGATATATTTTAAACTATTAGTAGATATCCTCTTTGGGGACAGCTTACGCCTTTTCTAATCAGTTTAACCAAAAGAACAAATACCCTTTCCCACTTTTAAACTGAATGAAGTAGAGCTTCCAGCATCACGTCACATCGCAGGTGCAGGAGAGCTTGCACAGTCACCCTGGGTATGTGTATAGGTATTATAGGCATACACTGAGTCTTTCAAATGTTAGAAGGTATGAGATTCCCTTTTCCTTCTACTGCCACCACTAGCAGACGCTAATGAATGAAATTAAGGATCGTATTGTGGAGTGCATTTTGCCGTATGGCACTTTGGTTCCTTTTGGGTAGAGAGGCCATTCATAAATCCTGCAAGACTCTCTTCCTCCAGGCTGTTGGGCATCCAATGAGTGTTTCCTTTTTAAGGCCTGGTTAAACGATGGGTCATCAAGCGTATCCTGTGCTCTTTGAATTAAGAAGTACTTCCATCTCTGAGAGGAGGTGGCACGCTGGCAGCTGCTCATAGCAGCAGCCAGCATTGTGTGGCTCTGCCTAAGGGTCTCAGTCAGGAAAGGCACTGAGAGGAAAAACCTAAAAGGGAATTCACATGGAAGGGTACACAATTGCTCCATTAGTGCCTGCGCTACTGGTGACCAGCCAAGCCAAACACAGTCCAGTACCCATGAACGGCTTGGGAGTGCCACTTGGTGGGTGGGTTTCAGAGTCCCCAGTGTTCTGAAGGTGCAGTGCCTTAGCATTGGCAGGTCACACTGGAAAGAGGCTTCTCATTCCTTGATAGGTAGAGAGTGTCTGCATTTCCCTACTTCACAGGTGATTTGTATAAGCACTGGAGTGCACTTGTGTAAATTGTGCTGCAGACTTTGCCTTGAGAAAGAGGTGAAATCCAAACTTGGGAGATCCAGAAGTTTCATTCTGCTGGCTCCTGTTCTGCTTCTTCAGCTGCTGGTGGCGGATGGTGACGGTTTCTGCCCCACTGGTTGGGAGAAATGCAAGGACTCCTTGTCTCTTGGACTTGGCTGCCATTTGATATTTAAAAAAGGCTTACCGGCCATTGCTGGCTAGTCGGTATTTCCCCCTCCCCCCAATGAATTTAGCTGTTTTGCAACCTGGCATGTCACCCTGATTTGAAAGTGTTTGAATTCTGTGGCTGAGCTGCTACTTCGATTTAAAATGTCCACTTTTAAGCAGAACAAAAAAAACATGTAATGGAAGCTGGCTGCAGAATTCTTTAAATAATACTGTAATAAACAACTTGCTTCCAAGAGTTCTGTGTTTTCTGTTTCTTCACCAGTTTCTGCTTTCATACATTACATAGATATGTAGTCTGGCTTGAAAAATTGGAAGAGCTTGTTTTTAAAGACTTGTCTTCAGTTTCCACCTCTGGCATTCTTGAGCTCACCATGAAGGACCTGGGACTAGACCCTGGAGCCCAGCAAAGTGTGGCTCAGACGTCAGCATCTCATGTGAAAAATCATGGAGCCAAACAATGGATTAAAAAAAGAGAGTATAGATCTATATATCTAATTATCATGTGTGCCCCCTACCTGTGGATACTTAAATCTGCAGATGGGGGCACACGTACTCCAAAAGGGCTTTTCTGCAAATTTGGGTGACCCCCTAGGGTTGCAGAAAATTAAAAATAAAACATCAATGCAAATCAACAAGCAACCAAAAATACACCAACAAAACTGTGATCAACCAAATGCCAACGAAAAACACCAATGCTTTCAAAAACGTAAGTGTGGTATAGGTTTTTGAACTCCTTTGAGAGGTGGTCTAGCAGGGACTCTTATTGCCGAAGACACACTAAACAGTTTCTCACTTGTTAACTAGCAACAGCACTACCTGACCTGACTTCCATTGGTGTGTGAACTTGAATGGGAATGAAGAGTCCTTTGAGTATGTGGGTCCCAGACTGGGAGGGGCTTTTAATGATTAAACAAACACCCAGAAGGTGAACCCAGAAGCAAAGTGGTAACCACTGTAACTAACAGGCTGAATATGGGCATCCTGCCCAATACCTAATGAAAGACAGACAAATGGAGCCCACATAAGTTGTTTTCCAGCAATAGCCATGAAACAAATCTGGAACTTACAGAAGCATTTATCCATATGGCACAGCCTTGGATCCTCCATTTATGTCTGTCTACAGAGCATGACTTCCTCACACTCCCCTTCCTGCTACAGTCCAAAATGCAACTCTTGGGGAACAGGGACTCCCCGGAAACAGTATGGGGGATTCAGTTTAAAAAATCACCCTTCTTCTGTTCACAGAGATTCTCTATCGCATTGGGGAAGCATACAAAGTTTCCAATACCCATGTTAATGAAAGCCGATTTGAATTATCAGGAAGGGTTGAAATTCTATTTGACACCTTTCATCTAGTTCAGTCAAATTTTCCAGAAAAACAAATGTAGTCTGATCAATTCCTTCCAAAGCATTTATAGGTATTTTATGATTGGGCAAAGAAAGGGGTGGGGGGGAGAAAGAATATGTTGTCTTGTAGTGGCAGCCAAGGAATACACAAAAGGCTTAGTCTTATTCCTAGTTGCTGACATAAAATTGAATATGCGCTAGAGACCATCTATTGGGTGTATGAAATATTATATAATACAATGATAAAGACAAAAACATGTACAAAGTGCAGAAAGAGGTCCAAAGTACATTTGTTGTTGACGAAATTCTCCGGATTGTCAAGTTGTTTCGAAAAAGCTTCATCCGAATGTTTCTCTATCCAGATGGCCCACTTGAAAATCCATCATGTATCCATATGATGGGTGAGGATTCTCTTCCATGTATCAAAGTTATTGGCACTTCATTCAATGTTCTACGAAAACTAGAAGATGCAACATTGTTATATATGGTCCTGTTTGGATGAAGCGCGTTTTCTGGATACTAGTGCACTTTCCTTGGTACTTTTTAACTCTGCATCTTCGGCCGGACACCACAGGTTGGCCACGGGTGCGCTACGCTTCCCAGATGTTACAATGTGATCGCGCCCCAAAAATCCGCCCGACATTCGTGCCTTTCGCGCGGCAAATTCTCCGTGTGACCAGGGCCGAGATTGGATTTATAACCCACCATTCACTACCCAAAGGAGTCTCAGAGCGGCTTACAATCTCCTTC